AAACTCCCAAGAGTTCCTCATACTGAATTTTGAAAACTTTATAAGAACACTGCCTTTCTAAGAACCTTCTTCTTAATTAGAATTGAGGAGGATGATAAAAAGAATTTTAAGCTAAGATATATATATATGTCATTTTCTATATCTGATGGCTTTATGGCTCCCTGACTGATGTATGTTTTGTAGCCTACATGCAATAGGATGTTTAAAAGTAGAACTAGTTTGCTTGATGAGATGAGCTCAGTTAGTAAGAACATGGTGCTGATAACACCAGGGTTGTGGGTTCGATCACTGTACTGGCCATTTACTTAAGAGTTGGACTCTTATCCTTGTGGGTCCCTTCCAACTCAGAATATTCTGTGGATCTGTGAACTTTTTTGCTACCATTCCTGGTAGCTAATTTTGTGTTAATTTAGAATGCAAATTTATTTGCACTTCATTTTTTTTTTGTCTTTCAACCACAGGGAAATGCTACATGACTTAGTCATTATTTTCTTCTTGATGGGAGCCCTTCTGAGATACCAGTAGCATTAACAATGACAGGGAAATGCTCTTTTCCCCAGACATTTTAATAAACATCAATCTAAATATTGATACGCATTAAATTTTTTTCTCTTAGTGTGCAGCATGTAACATCAGAATTGAAATTTGCATATGCAATATTGTTTTGGTTATCTAGAATTTTTCTAGTGCTCTTAAGTTCAGCAAGGGCAGTTTTGAAGGGCAAGCATGTCCTTAACTTGTTCTCAGTGATTTCCAAGTAAAGTGTGCCTACAGGAATGAAGATAGGTTTTTAAAAATCTCCAAATAAACCTCTTACGAAATCCACAGAATATTTTGTCTGTTTTCTCTTTAATATGTTCAGGCTATTGCTTGAAAAAGTGTCACTATATCATGTGTTTCTCTTTGATTCTGCCCTACTTGGATGCTCTTATTTGAATATGAAAAACTGTCTTAAAACAGCTGATGTTTGTGTTTTGCTCTCTTTACAGTGCATTTGCTCGATACCCTAATGCAATAGTCGTGCATTATTTCTGCTCCAAAGAAGTCAATACACTGGACACCTGACCTTGTCATGGTCAATAATCTCAACATTCATATGAAATTCAGTACTGATGACTAAAGAAGTTCATGTGTCTATGATTTTGAGGCTTGTTGCTACGTTCTCTTACACTGGGTGGAAGTCATTTATATCTATGGACTGACTGTACCCACCCAGCAATATTGATGTACTAGAAAATGACTTTAACCATGTTGTTACAGTGCTGGCAACCACACTGAACCTCTCAGTCCTCAGATGAAGAATCAAAACTGATTTTTGTAGTGAGTTTTGTAATACACTCCAGTCTTGCAAATGAACTGTTAGACAACTGTTGGACATTGACCACAAATCAAGTTTTACAATAAAACGTACTTTCTTAGGGTGGCAGTGTTGTGATTTGGCCTTGTATGCAAGTATTTATTCAAAAGAAGAAAATTCCCTCAAAGTCTTTGCAGCTGTATCAGCGTTGCATGGAGATCACCAGGTGTTTGTCATAGAGGAGGCTTCTGTGTCTGTGTCTAGACATAGCAAGTGTAACTTTTATCTCAGCAACAGAAATGGTTTAAGTACTGGCCAAAGGACTCTGTATTGATAATTCAGTGTTTTTGCCTGGCCTTCTGGTAAGTTGTTTCACAGAAGATAGTCAGATGAATGTCAGATACCACTAAGAAGTGCTTTTTTTCCCTTTTTGTTTTAGTTTGACAGCTATAAATGGAATTAACTTGTGTGTTGTTTGCACTGACTGTGTTCCCTCCTAGCGCAAGTGGAAGCTTGGAGACTATTTGAAGAAGCTCACATCTGCACTCAAAGGAAATAGCAGCCCTGTAAAGCAATTTCTGGAAGGAGTGAACTCTAGTTACTGCTTGAACTTCTGGACTATGCTAGAGACTTTTGTATATAAGTTCCTTAGTCTCTGGTTCACTTTCCAACATTGAAGTAAAATCCAAACTGTTTCAACATCCGTGTATTTTAAATGCTCTAGAACTGCATTCTGCTCAGGCTGGTACTGTTCTTTAATTACTCTTGGGCCAAAAGTCTTAACACAAGAACTAAATTGTACCATACTCACTCTAGGCTGTAAATATTTTGTCTAACTTATTTTTTCAGAAACATTAATTAGTAGCAGATTTGTATATGAGGGATAAAATGTTTGTTGCAGAAAGGATCTGTGGAGTGGGATTGAAAAGGCAGGAGTAGTGAATAACCCAGAAGAGTGGCTGTTTGACTTCCAATATCCTGGTCTAGCAATACGTAAAAGTAAGTCATTATTAAGTAGTGTGGAGCATGACATGTAACTAGCAGATACATCTTAAAGAGCGAGCTGATGAATAAATCTTGCCTGCCTGAAGTGTAGCTGAACCTGAGTTAACATAGGTTTACTTCAATCATGTGAGTGTTCTTTAGGAACAGATCTGCTATAGGCTGACAAGAGTCCTAATTCACTTTCATTGCCAGTGTTAATAGTTTCTCTTGATAAATGTTTTTTCCTTGCTATTATGTGTTTGTATTTATTGCTCATGCATTCTTCTGGATTTCTCAGTCCAGTGTTTTGCTTGAATGTCTTGGGCAGTACTGCTACTGAAGTCTTTCTGCAGAAGCTGGATAGAAGGGATCTGTGGTGTTAATGTTTTTAAACGTGTATTTCTTCTGTTTGAAGAAGAGAGCCTAAAAATACTTACACTAGATTTGCACATTCTGTATAGATCTTTATATACTAGTTCAGGTACAGGGGGAAGATGGTTTGGGAGAGTTGTGTTTACAGGTCATAGAGAATGAAGAGAGGGTGTTTAAAAAGACCCTTCATTCTTTGTATACAGATACAACAATGCTAATCTGATTTTTACTTACGTTTAGTACTGGTATTATGATTTTAATTTACCTTCATTGTCTGTTACCAGGATCTTCATTGTGCTCTTACTTACAAGACTAAAGTTGTGCCTCTGTTCATCTCCCCTGCATACCTTTTACAGAGATGTGATTTGTGCTGTACTTGTTTGTTGTTTTTTTTTGTTGTTGGTTCATATAATGTGCTTTGGGTTTACTAACCATACAGCAGGTTTATCTAAAGCAATAGGTTGTAATAAATATTGTGAACCAGTGTGTGTTTCAGTCATTGTGCAGTTAAGCTTCTCTGGGCTGATGTAGATTTTATTTTTTATTTGTATATCAGACCTCATTTTCTCCTGGAAGTCTGACCCAATGCAGTATCTCAGTATCCCTCTTGCTTTAGTATGTGTAAATCAAGTGTGGCCATGTCATCAATTCTCAATGTAGGTTTTTAAATCTACAAGTTTATACATGCTTGTGAATGTCCTCAAAATCGTACTAAAAACACTTTTGTATTACCTCTTGGAATAATGTTTTACATGTCTTACACCATTATACCATTAAATATGTACTTGCTAGAGAACACTAAAATTACTGACAATTTTTTTTTTTGAGTGGTGATACGCTATTTTGTGCTGGGGGGGGATGTTGATCTCTGTGTGGTCAAATTGGGAAATGTTTAGATTCACAGGTTTGCACTTCCCATAGAGTAGTCTGGTGTTGGAAGTAGAATACAGACCCTTATTTTTCCCATTCTATAGCTATGGGAAGCACTAGCACAGAGGAAGTCTTCTGTCTCCAGGTTCACAGAATGGGTCAGGTTGGGAGGACCCAGAGTGGGTCACTCAGTGCAAGCTTCCTGCTCAAGCAGGAACACCTCCAGCAGGTCACCCCCAGCCTGTGCTGGTGCCTGGGTTGTTCCTCCCCAGTGCAGGACCCTGCATTTGCCTCTGCTGGATTTCAGACAGTTCTTCCCTTCCCATCTCTCCAGCCTGTTGAGGTCCCTCTGAAGGGCTGCACAGCCCTCTGGGGCATCAGCCACTCCTCCCAGCTTTGTGTCATCAGTGAACTTGCTGAGGAGGCATCTGCTCCTTCATCCAAGGCACTGATGAATAAATTGAACTAATATTGGTGTTTCTGGAGAAAACTAAAAAAATCCCCAACAAACAAATCCTATCCTTGATTGTATCCTTTCAAATTTTCATCTTTTCTAGTTATATACAGCATCTCAGCTCTCCTCTTAGTGCTGCTAATGGGACCAAAAGGGGTTCCTTGTGATATCTGCACAAATTTCAAATAATATATAATATAGTTGGTGATGATGTCATTTAATGCTTTCTCACCAAAAAAACACAAAATTGGAATGCAGATCTACACCTACCTTTACCCCTGTGGGCATGCTAATCCAAGCAGAAGTAAAATTAGCAGGTGCGAGGCTTTCTTTGCCTCATCTTTTGATACCATTGTGCTTACTTGTTTTCTTAGTCTGCTGGGAAATAACCAAATAGTTTCTCTTTGGATATTAAGTTTGCTGACAACAGTGTCTATAGATGGCTAAAACCACACACAGACACTGCTAATGGGTGATCTGTTGTTAACTATGAAACAATTCTTAAGCATATGTTCTAAAGAGCTTTCAGTTTTTCTTGAGGGATTCAAGAGAAATTCTGTAAACATGAGATCCCTAAGCTGAGTGAGATTTCATTGGAAGAGGAGAGAGAGTGTCAGAAGGCAGGTAAGCAAAATTTATGTTCAGTTGGGCACTCAAGACAAAACAGGGTTTATACACTGCCTGTAATAAACTAGAATAAGTGTGATTTCTCCATGGTGTTACTGTAGTGGTGAGGCCACTTCGATTTTCCTGTAATTTACAGTCAAACTGTATTAGATTAAATGTAAAAAAACCCACACTAATGGTTCTACAATCTTTTTGAAGATAAATAAAATGTAATATGATAGTCATAGAATGGTTGGGGTTGAAAGGAAGCCTAAAGATATTCTAGATTCAACCTCCTCAGGGCCCCAACCTGGCATTTGTACACTTCTAGAGATGAGGCATCCACAACTTCTCTGGGAAATCTGTTCCAGTGCCTCACCATCTTCTAAGTAAAGAGTTTTTTTCCTAATATCTAATCTAAGTCTACCCTCTTTAAAATCATTTCCCCATGTCCTATCGCTATCTGGTAGTGTAAAAAGTCACTCTCCCTCTTTAAGAGCCCACTTTAAATGCTGGAAGGTTGCTATGAGGTCTCCTTGGAGCCTTTTCTTTTCCAGTCTTAGCTTTTTCAGCCTTTCTTCGCAGGGGTGGTGCTGCAGTCCTTCACTGTCAGTGCAGTGGTGAGTAGAAAAGCAAAGAAATAGCTTTTTCAGCCGACTGTCTGCAGTACCATTTAGTAGGACACGAGGGCTTTACAGCTGTTGCTGGCTGTTTCACAACAGCATTATGTTTGCTTTTTGTCTGTGTTTTGACTCTTGGTTCTGTGAATTCACCACTTAGTGCTGACTTGTTTGTGTTTGAAATGTCAGTGCTTATGCTTTTATTAATTTTCTTAAATTCTAGTCTGGTGACTGGTGCTAATGACAGGAAATGATTAATGAATGGGACCTTGCTGAGAATGTGTCACATTCTCATGTTTGCATGGAGCTAATGGCATGCTGCATTACTGGCTTTCATACATTTTCTGCCACTTTAATTGTTGCAAGACTAAAGTTTGGTACTTGGCCTGCAATTCCAGTTTATAAATTTCAGCTCTTTGATAAAAAGCTCCAGCAAGACAACTGTCAGCAGCTGCAAATAAGCTAATCACTTTTAGTAAACTATTTCGTTCACTACTTAATTATTTTTTAAGGTGTGATAGACCCTTAAAAAAAAATCTGTCCTGTTTCTTGTAAAGTTTTTTGAGACCCTTTGGTGGAAGAATTAAGACTGTCCATGGAAAGGAGGAAAAAGGGGAGAGTTTTGCAGGCTGCTAAGAGGGGAGATGTGGTGGGGAATTGCTGTTCCCTGAGGCATCTTATGGCAGACCAAAGTGTGGTGTCTCCACTGCGGTTTCCCTGAAACTGCTCTGAACTGCTACAGTCAGTGACAAATTTTGTGTTACTTCAGGCTTGTAAGAAGGGAAATTTTTTTTTCTATTTAATAATACTGGAAGGTTGTGCTGAAGCTCCGAAAAGGATTGTTAATGGCCATAGTTGTAGTCAGGTTGCTGGAACACTCCAAGAAAATCTGGAATGGGGGTTCAGATGTCTCGGCTGGATCGCAAAGCGGCGCTTCCTCCTGCCCAGGCGCTGCCTTGCTGCCCTTATCTTGTAGCAATATTGGAAAAACCTGCCAGCGAGGTTTTGAGCGGGCTTGTTCGGCAAGTGTGGGCCACACCTCCGCTTCTCACAGCTGGAGCACGGCCCGGCCCTGCGCAAAACTCGAGATGAGCCCATAGCGAGCAGCCCTTCGCGGCCGGGCCTCCGGGAACTCGCCTTGGGCTCCCTGTCCCATATTCGGCAAGGACAGCGGGACGTTTTCCCCATGTTCCATGAGGTGCTGCGGGGCCCGTTTCCGCCCAGAGTGCTACCTTTCCTGGCAGCGGTGCTTTTCCAGAGGAAGGAGAGGAGAGACTCGGGGCTCTGTCACTGGCGGGTAAGGCACGCGGCGGGGCTGGCTGTGGGATGGCGTCCCCTCAGCTGCGGCGCGCGGGAGCGGCTGCTGCACGTGTGGGAAACCTGCGCTCCCACAGGACTGAAAAGGTTTATTGCTACCCAGACTGTTCTCTTAATGGTCATGTCAATGGAGGCTTTTATTAGCTTTTATTTTTTTAATTCCAGGCTTTTATTAAATTTGGAAATCCAGAGCAGGTATGCCTTTCCTTAGGTTTTGGGGAGCAGAATTGAGCTGATGCCAAGCACTTTTTTTGGGGAGAGTCCAGAATACTGCACTTTTCATCAGTAGAGACAAAATCACGCTTATGTGTTTTCTTGCGAAATAACCTTGACTACAGTTGCCTTCTGTTCTACTTTCTATCTTACCCTACGGGGATTAATGATCTCAAGTAGACAAAGACTAATGATAGCTTCAGCTCCTGTTCGTAGTGCAATGCAGCCACAACAGATAACGTGGTTTTGACATGTTTGTCCTTTAACTGGAGTGAAATAATTTCATTTTATAAGATAGTGAGGCTAATAACTTCAGTTTTGAATTAAGCTAAATGTTTGTGAAGGAGCTTTTGACTGGAGATTTGATTATAAGCTGATCACCCTTGTCATATCCTATCACACCATCCCCTCGATATACAACTTAAAATTGGGGTGACAATTGTCACAAGACAACTTGCTGCTTGTATAGCTTTCTGTATGTCTGCTTGCTGTGTGAAAAAAATAAACTTGTTGACTTTTTAATATTCCTGTTTAGTACTTAGGAGATTAGTTGGAAGAGGTTCATGTTAGCCTCCCATTAACTGTAAACCACTAAATATATTTTCCCTCCGGCAATTACTATTTAAATAAAAAAAACTGGGATTAAATTAATTGCTATTTAAATTAAAAAAAAAAAAGCAAATTAACATTACTTAACAAAATTTTGCTGGCTATGGGGAGAGACTTTTGTATTGACTAATCGATAGCAATTTAGCAAGGGGTGGGACGGCAGATCACCCTTTTGGCTTTGTAGATAAATTCAGCATGAGCACCCTTTTGGCTTTGTAGATAAATTCAGCATGAGCAGACCACTTTAATTTTCCAGATTTTAGCCTTAGATTCACTTCTAAAAGCAAACAACAATAAAGTGAGAGTGAACCCGATGTTTGCCCCTGCTGCTGTTACTGACATGCTGGCCCTGCTCATGTCCTGGCTAACTGTAAATCCTGCCTGCCAGAAGATCATGGTTCTGTAAGTCTCCTTTCACAGCTGCAGATGCATATTCCTGAGGGAGGAGGACAGTGCAAGGGGTGCCCAGGAAAGCCAGGCGTTTGCTTTGGGCTTTAAAAGCAAACTTGTGACACTTTGGCCACAAGGAAGGGAATGATGTGCAGCAATGTTTCTTTGGGAGCAGGAGCATGATGGGGAGAAGCTGCTCCATTTGTGAACTGAACATTTCTTTGAGCTACCTATTCTTCCCAAAACTGTGAAAAAATATGTCTTAGAAGTTGTGTTTCTATTGGCTATGACAGCATTTTTGTAATGAATCTGGTGGGCTTATTGTGAGTCCTCTGCATTCACTGAGACCTGTGGAGTGGATCCCAGCACTTACATCCCACTGTATAAAGGGAGGTATCCTGGGCTACATGAAGGTAAAGACTACTGGGTCCTGTGGCTGGGATGACTCGTTTTACAGCTGCTTCCTTCTGCATCAGCATCTTCAGTTTAGATGAAAGGTGCAGACAGTTGTTTACAAAGTATGGGAAAATTCAGCCTTTTACCCTCATTTTAGGATTTGAAGTGGACTTTTCTTTCTTTGCTTCAGATGCACTCCTGAGCTCTGGAAAAGCAGTGATTCTGAAAAACCATTGAAATGCAAAGCAGAAGTTAGCTGCTTACTTCAGTCACATACATCGGTATGCTGCCATGTATAGTGATACAGGCAGAGCTGTCATTAGTATCTGTTGCCCATTTCCCATATGGATTTCTTGCCTGCCTTTTCCCTGATCATTCAGATAGAGCTTATCTGATACTCCCATGCTTCGTTGCTCTGCAAGCTCACCTAGCTATGACTAGCTGTGCCTTTGCTACAAGATAAGTACAAAAGGCATATGAGGAAGTTCTGGCACAACTGATCACACAGTCTTGGTTGCACAGTGAAATTTCTCTTGAGTTATATGCCCTTAAATTATGATCTGGGTGTGGAAAATGTATCCTCAACTGTGTAATGACTGGCTGCAAATCAAAGGTGTTAGAGACCTTTGGAAGGGACTTTCTGTTGAGCATGTAAGTAAATTTCTGACAAATGGTGTGCACTAAAAGAAGGATAGGCTATTTTTGTGCGGATCTTCCGGGTGACAGCCATGCTCTGTGAGTGAAGATTGCTTTCACAGCCATGGGGGTGTGATTATGTAGCTTTATGTCTCAACTAATAGAAGAGTTGCAGGAACTTTAGGAAGTTGGTGAGAGTAACATACACAATCTTGAATTTCTCTCTGTAATCTATTCCCCAACTTGATGAAGGTGGTCAGCCTTTGCCTGAGAAACTAGTGACTGAGAAGGCATGTCTTGTTCACAGAAACAAAGGAATAAGTACATGTCATTTCTGCAAATAAGCGCGTTTCAGATTAGTAACAGTATAACTGGAGTTTATTTGCACAAATGTAATTTAGTACTTGCATGTGAGAAATCTTAGGTGACTCATTAGTTTTTGCTCTTTGCTTGTTGGTCAGGATGGATGGTGCTTGCTTAATACAAAAATGTTCAGTATATTGTGTATGCCTTGATTTTATTGTGTTGTTCAAACCCTGTTTTGCAAAAGCTGGCAAGTATCTCCAAGAGATGAAAGGAAAACTCACCAAGCATGTGACTGCTTAATAAACATAATATAATTCCATTTATCAGATAAGGAACAATCTAGATTGTTCCTTATCTGCTCAGAATTCACTGGTTTCTATGAGACTCCAGTCAGTGATATGTAGGCTCTATGTTTTTTTTATATTTCAAGAATCATAGAAATAAAGAATGGTTTGGGTTGGAAGGGATCCTACCTGGCCATGAACACTTCCAGAAATGTTCACATCTTCTCTGGGCAGCCTCTTCCAGTGCCTCATTTGTCAATCTGCAGTATTTTGTTGTAAGTGAAGATCCTGTTGAATTTAATTGTAAGTGAATACTTAGCATGTCTAAAATTAAACTGTGGTCTCAAGCCAACCACGCTGAAAATTGTGAATTTGAAGTAATATCCATTTGTGTAAAGCATTTTGAAAATGTGATTTAAGAATAGGAAAGGTTCTTAGCTGGCCTGAATTGTGGCATAACTGGTGAAAATGAGGGAGAATCCTATTGTGTTCCCAAGCCTTACACAATTACTTCTGTGCAGTCTCTGTATTAAGTCACCTCAAGTTGTTCTCTCTTGTCCCTTGCCCTCCCCCGTTCTCCTTCATGATATTCTAGGATCTAGTCAGACTTTTTTTTTTCCACTTCGCATCCTGGCATTTAGATACTAATATTACTTTCCAAAAATAGTCTCCCAGAAGCTTTCAAGAGTAAGGATTACAATTTTATCTGTGCTGGTTAAGTGACATGCACAAATAGAATGCTGATATCAGTTAAGTGTCCAGAATAAAAGTGAATTTAAGTTCTGTCTTTTCTAGCCCAAACTGCCATGAAGTGTTTTGGCAAGCAGGTGTTTTGTTTTTGTGTGTTTTTTTTGTTGCAAACAGTGTGTGCCTTTTATGTCTTTAGAACTTGCTCTTAAGATTCTTGCCATGTCTGCTTTTACTCAAGGATTCATGTGCCCTTGGCAGTACTGTTAAACTAACTGTCGTGAGTGTGTTTGAGCAGCTTTAGCATCTTTTTCTCCCTCAGCAAGAATGTACTAACAAAGCAATTAAAAAGTGATCTATAATTAGAGGAATCCCTAAATAAGGGACTTATTTTCTGAAGTCCATGAGGAGCTACCATAAGACACCTCTCACTGCACTGCCTAAAGGGAATTGAGTTTCCTTCTAGGCTCCTTTAGTCACCTTCTAGGACACTGAAAGTGCTGTGTGTGATCCCAAACTGTTTCATTAACAGATTATTTCCGGCTGGCTGGTTCTGATCCATTTCTCTGGTCTAATACTAGTGTGGTTACAGAACAGGCATTGCATTGAGCTAAATGCTGAGTTTGTTTCTCTCTTTTCAGTGGGAAAAGCACCCTTACTACAACCTAACAGTAAAAGTCCTCCGAGCCAGAAACATCAAGGGTACCGATGTGTGTAAGTATTTACTCGAGGCATTATGAAAACATGTTGCTTCCTTGGTGCATACCTCTAGCACATAGGGCATTGTTAAGGGAGCCTCTTACCCACACATATTGCATTGCCTTTATTTCTCAGCAAAAGCTTCTCATGTAAAGCATTATATACATATGTATATAATGTCAAGTATATTATATATATTTCAAAAGCTTTATGTGAGACCAGTCTGCAGATTAAGCAGCTGCAGCTGTTCTTACTGTGCAGAACAAGAACAGGTAAGTCCTGGTAATGTTTCACTTCTCTGCTCCTTTACCTGTTCTGCTCTGGCCCATTCTGTATTCCTTTCTCTGTCTTCAGTCTTCTGGTTATGGCAAGTTTCACCCTTGCTCCTTCCTGAACCTGGAAGCAGAAATCTTTAATTCTAGCGTTCAAACGTTTATTTTCTCAGTTGTAGTATTGCTTTATTTCATGTACCTGCTATATGTTTGTCATTGAAGACTTCAAAAGAAGTAGCTGGTTGACTGATTCCAAGATAAACTGCTTTTTATCTACTCCTGGTTTTGATAGCATGGTATATATTCCCTTCCATTTACACACCTGTGTAAAGATCTCAGGGCTGTTTGAGGCATTTTGATCTTTAAAACTAATTTATATTAAATTACTTCAGATTAAATTGAGTAAGATCAGCTGCCTTAAGTTTATATCTGACATCCAGCACTGAAATACTTGGAATGCTAAAGAGCTGTTCAGAGAACAGAAAAGCCTCCTTAGAGACTGAGGGCTAGAATCATGTTGTGAAGGGTTCTTTTCTGTGGCCTGTCTATTCAGATGGAGTGATGAATGGTCCCCATATTTGCATTGTTGAAGGGGCCCTCCTGGCCAGACTAAACACTACTAAGGAGTAGTGGTTGTTGCCTACTTGGACTTTAGTAGGTTTAGGCTCTTTCAGTGGTGCCCAGTGATAGGACAAGAGGCAATAGGCTTGGTATCAGCAGTAGTCTTTATTTAAAAGTTGATCTTCTTCATTTCAAATACTAGCCTTTTTTATTAAGGGAATTATGATTTTGATGAACCAGAAAAAAGAAATATAGGCACCTAATATTCAATTTGCTTCTGTTTAAAGGCATTTGCTTCTGTTTAAAGGCATTTGCTTCATTAAAGACTTTTGCTTTGTAAGTCCAGTCTTAAATTTGCACTTTGCTATGATGCAATGAGATCTAGAAAATGAGGAGCTCATGGGAAAGAGGATGTTTGAATAAAGATTTTCTGGTGCGTGTCTCACTCTCTGCTGTAGTGTCCAAGGCAGACTGCTACGTGGAACTGAAGCTGCCTACTGCATCTCCCCGTGTCTCTCGAACTCAGGTTGTTGACAACTCTGAGAACCCAGAATGGAATGAAACCTTCCAGTATCGCATCCATAGCGCTGTCAAGGTAAAGACACTGTGTGGAGCAGGTTGGGCTACTTGTGTTTTTGTACTGGCTTGCTTTTGACAGTTCATTAAAAACCAAGGGTTCTTTATTACCCTCAAAACTAGTGTTGCATGTAAGGTGTCAGTTGTCTTCGGTGGTGCAAAAAGCTGTACTGTATGTGTCCAGTGATACAAACTGCTGTGGATAACTGCTCTCATGTAAGTTGCAGCTAGAATTTTCCATCCTTGTGATGCATCTCGGGAAAGGGAGGTTACACCCCTACCTGGTGGAGTTCAAGGAAATTCCTTGATTAAGCAAGTTTCTATTTGATGTCTGCTTCTTCTTTCACAGGAACTAAATTTCTACTCACTGCCACATAGTTCATTCAGTCAAGTTTTACCATCAGTTCCGATGATTGAGAAAACCAAATTCAAACTCTTGTATAGAGGCTGTACCTCTACTATCTGTGTAGGATGTAGTACAGTATTTAACAAAGTCTTCAGGTTGACAGCATTCATTCTCAAAGTAGACACTAATGGTAGGGGGAAGGAAACTGTACTTTGAAAGATCAGTTTTAGTGGGGCAGTATTACTTTGAGTAACATCCCAGGCTTTGGAATAAGGTGTCTGTTAACAAGAAAGTATCCCCCTCACTGGAGTACCTTTCCACAATGGTTGGTGACAAATATGGAATGGTAATTGACTTGACTGGTGAGACAATTGAAAGTTAAACTTCAGAGTGTGGGATCTTTTACTTTCCCTCCAGGCTCATGAGACCTCAGCTTGGTTGCTGCAAGGCAAGTATTTGGGTGCCGTATGTCCTCACTGTATCTATTTCAGTCTCTCTTGAGTTTACTATCTCTGAGACACTGCTGAGCAAGTAGTGATTGGTCCCCATAACATCCTGGACTAAATCATCATGAAAGAGGGAAAATTGCTATTGCTTCCTTGGACTAATCTGTGCCTGGAGCTGGTGGAGAGTACTGCCGCAGGAGTTCAGCTGGGACCTCCCTCTAGTTGGGAAGCTGAGAAAATACTTTAGCTAAATGGTGTCAGCTAGAAGAAATTTTTGCTTAACTATGCTGTAAGCCATGCTGAAAAAACTGAATTTTCCTTAGGATTGGGAAAGGGGAAAAGTATTGATTAATGCACAAGTGTCTATCATATACAGCTACCCAGGTTTGTCAGTGTTCCTGCCCCTTTCTGTCTTAGGCTGTTTGTTTATTTTTGCTTTTAGAACATCCTGGAGTTGACCCTCTATGATAAGGATGTCCTTGTCAGCGATGAGCTCACCTCTATTGTCTTCGACCTGGGGGGCATGAGGCCGGGTCAGCCCCTGCTGCGCACCTTCAGGCTGAACCCCGAGGTGAGTGCCTGGCTCAGCTGGGAGTGCCTGCAGCTCACCACTCTCACATCTGGCAGCACCTGCTGGTTGGTGTATCTGTGTTGGAGAAGCCAGAAGGGAAAAATCAGTCAACTGGTGATGACAGCATGGTTTTACTGTCAACTGAGATGTTTCCGAGTTCTCTAGTACTTAATTTGTGTGTTTTCCACAGTCTTTGGGATGCTCCAGTTAAATAAATTTAGGATTACTGCTGTCTTTCAGGAAGATTAAAACATCTTTAAACCGAGTTAGTTTTTCATGAGACTTAGAGGAGCATAAACTGGTTTTAAAATGAAAGTAATTTGCAGTCAGTAATCATTGTGGGGACTGTCTTATTTAGTTTGTCAGCATTAGTTTGCAAAAAACAGGTTTATTGCTGCCAAGGTTACCTCTATATCTAATAGGTCAAAAGCCTAAGAGAAGCTTATCTTCTCTGGGTTATGTTCGGTACATTTAACCTCTGCTTCATGTGGATGATATTGGTGACCAGCTGCTCTCAAGCCCTGTTCACCTGTTTGTGGACTTACAAAACAGCCTTTTTTATGTGGGTAAAAGCCACATCGCCAGACTGATCTATTTTGTAATGCCATAAATGCATTGCTACATAAGGTCTGGATTAAAGGTGAGCTAATGATGTGTTTTCTTGAGAAATTTGGGTTCAGTATGGTTGGTGTGGTCAGAAGCAGACTAACTAGTGTGCAGTTCACAGGGAGGTGCTGGGCAGTGTCACAGGCACTCCAAATCATTTACGATCATGGAAAGAGCCTTTGTAATTCCATTGTTCCCACTCTATCCGTTTGTTGAATGCTTAAGTCATCTTGATCTGTACTTAAGAGACTGGAAATTTCAACTTCAGCAAAGAAAATTACCCAAATCACCTTCTACTTATTTTAAAAGCTGTGTTAGGTCTGGTATCAAATATTTACTGTATGCTGTGGGAAGAGAAGACTTTGGCTGGAACAAAGTCTGTAGAGGATAAAGGCAGCAAGGAGCTAAGAGTGCAAGCTGCTGAAATAAGAAGTGGGAAGAAGCCCAAAGCCTCATGTAGAAGCTGTTTGCAGAAATGATGTTGCAGTGGTTCTTGAGCCAGAGGAGGTTTTTTTCTCTCATTAGCAGAGTAATGAATCTGAGAGACAGCTCTCACTTCTGTGCACTTGTGTCTTCAAATGTAGATGTCTAGTCATATAGAACATGTGCAGGAGGAGTATTTAAAGGCTAAAGGCTACATTTAATGATTTCAAAATTTAACTGGAGCTTTTAAAAAGGAACAAACCCAGTTATTTTAACAGGAAGTAACAGGAGAAAAGCTTAACCTCTTGGAGAAATGTCTCTTAGTTATATATTCAGCATCAAGGGTCACCAATATCCAACTTTTATTTTAAAAGGCTAATGAAGAGCTGGATGTAGAGTTTTTCTTGGAGAAATGGTGAGTCTTACCTGAAGAGCTGAATGAACTTGTGCTCTGCAGATTTGTTGTCAGTTGCTTTTTCTGTCTGGGGATAGTCTTGCTCATAAAAAAGATAATGCTTTATAGTTCGCTCTGATGATTTAGTTGATTCACTAATGACTGACCGAAATTATCCTTAGATACTCCAGTCACCAAAATTTTTGGGGTACCAAAAATAAATAAAATTATGCTGGACTTCATGGGAAGTAAGTGAACACTTTATGGATTAGTTATTTAGGAGTGGAAAATTTTCAGTTAACCTTTCAAAAATACACAGATCTATCTATCTGATAGTCTAAGTTGAGCTTTTCTCTAGGTTATCAAAGTAACTGAGAGGGGAGATCTTACAGCACATGCTTACATTTGCAGACAATTTTTTTTCTTCAATTTTTCCAAGCCCCCATTATTTTGTGAAGGGAGATATACTTGATGTTTCCCTAGATCTCCCACACTGAGGACCTTTTCACCCTGCTGCTTATTCAGCCAATTAGTTTGTAAAGCAGTATGAAGAAAAAAGAAAACCAGTGGTCCCTTACATTAAACCTCTTGCTTTCACAGCTCAGATGCTCCTACAGAAGTACTGACCAACGGAGTCCTTGTGGTGAGTACATGGAAGCACAGTATGTGGAAGTACAGAATCATGTGTGTTGTGATTTACTCCTGAATTTAAGTTTTTAGTAGCGAGGAGAGAAGAATCCTGGAGTATTCCAATCCTACTTCCAAACAGCTCCTATTCCTTTCCAAGATAATGCTTCTGTTTTTCAATTTGTTGACTTCAAACTCTTCCTCAATTTTTAAACTTGATGCCAGCTTACAGAAAGCTGCAGTTTTTTGTTTTGTGGTGTTTGTTTTTTTCCCTGTAAGGTTGCTATGAAAACGGTAAAAAATATCTTTAGCAGTCAAGTTAGTCTTGAAGACTGTACTGTGTTTTCTAGACTAGATGCTGTCCAGGAAGAGTCCCTCTTGTTTTAACACATTATTTCTAAGCTTTTATCAGTGCCATTATTAAGTAGGGGATTGCTCCCTGTTCTTTTGGGTTAACCAATCTAAGCAAATCAGTGTGCTATATATTACAGACAAGTATTTTCTTTCTTGAAAGGAAAGGGACTGGAGTAATGTTTTTTGTGAGGAGATAAGGATAATGATTAAAATGTACAGTTTTAACTTTTTTTTTCCCTGAAAAATTTGTGGCATTTAACAGCACAGTTGTAAAAACTATTTCATAGGAAGGAACCTTTTTTGTTCCAGTTTCCCTTAGCAAGTCAGCCTTAATTCAAGCAGTCGACTAGTTTCTTTTAGGACAGTTGTGCCCAAATAAATTTCTCATCTGCTGTCCTAGAGGGTAAGCTGATGGCTGAATGGTATGAGAGACTAAATTTCATGAGGACATAGACAAGCTGGGACAGAAATTTATGAAGTTATTGCTTGGATCTGAGCAGGTTCTGCATAGCTACTCATATGTACATTTGAAAAATTCTGAAAAGTTCTGAAACAAGAGCTAATAATCCTGTCCTACTGAAACAAAACTTGGTCTTTATTTGAAATAACAAAAAAATGCCAAATTTTTTTTGACAGCTTGCAGCTGTAAATTTGCAACTAATATAGTAGGTGAATTAAACTTCAACAAAGAAGTGTACTAAAAATTGTATGACCAGAGCTGGTTTCTTTTTTTCACAGGTTCATCCTTGCTTGTGTCTGCAAGGCACTGTCAACAAAGAGGAAAACACAAATGAGAAACAGCAAGGTAGGGCTGCCTGAAGAGATTAAGTCAGGACTACTCCTCAGCATGCTTGCTCCTTGAGAGAGAGGGGAGACTAGACTCTCTGTCTATACAGTACATTTTAATTTATTGACTACAAAATTGACTTTTAAAGTAAATTTTGATTGTATTTTCAATAATTAATAATATTGGTACCACACAATATAGTTTTTGCTTGTATTTTCATGGTCTCAGCTACACTTAATAAGTACTTGATTTTCAAAAAATAGTCCTTGTGATCTAAACTTTTTCTAATGCACAGGACGCTGTGAGATCAAGGTGTCTGTCCCAGGGGCATATCAAAAGCAGTTGTCTATTCCTTGGACACCAGACAATGAGACGGATTATGGAACCTCCTTTGTCTTTCATGTGGATAAAGAAATGTGTCCAGAACTGCAAGTGGAGCTGGAGCAAACCATATCTGTCCTACAGGTGAGCATCCATGCTGATTCCACAAAGCGTACAGAGGGATAAGTTTTTCTCTATGGCTGCTTTTCACACACTACTTTGTTTTTGTTTGTTTATTTGTTTTTGTTTTAAAAATGTCAGATTGTGCATTGGATCTTTGATATTATGTAAGGAAATGAAATTACCTTAAGAGTATATACTCCCAAAGATTTAACGTCTGTTCAAACTTGGGGAGTAAGAAAATGTTACTCTGCACATGCTTTTTGCTTTCATCTTTTGAGATACTCTGTAGGAACTCTTTTCTCTTAGAAACTTGTAGATCAGTTGCCTCTTGCAGAGGTTTATTTATCTTTGTCTTTACTTCGGAGTTTCTCCAGGTACCCATGTAGTGACTGAATATTCATTCTCCAAAAATAACAGCAAGGAAACTCTTTATTCTGTGATGCTTTTTATCCCCACAAGTAGTTGGGTAGCATGATTGCATATGGTGATCTTGACTACTCTAGAGGCAGCTGTGGAGAAGAGGACACAAAGAAGGATTTGGAAAAGCAGCTTTGCCAGAGGGTTTGTTATGCAGCAAGCATGAGCTGAAGAGAGAGACCTGGATCTGAGTGGTCAAAAACTCAGAGCCAGGCAAGCAAAAACCCCGTAGAGGTCAACCATGGAGATTGCCCCAGGTGATAAACCTCAGCCAAACAACTCTGGTAGCTAGCTGTGACATGGGACTCAGGTCAGCAGTTATTGGTCAGAAGACACCTCTGAAGTCTGTGGGTAGTTCACAGGTCACACCGTGGTGTGAGAAGGGTGACAGACTATTTTCTCTCTAAGATGCAGTCTCCTCCTGAGGACTGAGCCCTGTGGTTGGTGTGTGGCCTCTCTGTAGGCTTGTGTGCCCCTCTGATATGAGGGTTTTTTAGTATGCCTCTTTACATTTAGTACAGAGCTGTGTGCAGATTCCTAAAGGATCTTGCCATTTGCTACATGGCAGAAAACTCAGATATTTTCTGGCAAGCTTTAATCTGCTCTGTTGTTGAAGTTTTTTTAAAATTACATGCTGCCACATGTCCCTAAGGTGATTATCTTATTTCTTATTTTGTGGTATTTTTTATGCATATCTAATGCTGTTGCCTTTTTTGGTACTTTTCCCAAACTTTGCTTGGAAGATGGAATGCAAGTTTGTTTGTGAAATTTCTGACACATGCCAGAGCTATTTGTAGGAGAAATTTTGTACTTGAAGATTTTTTAATTGTGGCAGACAGGTATATCAAAAACACCCAATAGCAGCAAACAAAAACCCCTTAAAACTAAACCAAACAACAAGAAGAAAGAAAGAAACTATTTTAATGAAAGAAATACCCCTGCAAAGACCTGTCAAGCAGAAAGCAGGATGCCCTCAAAAAACCCTGGAGTTTTGGTAAATATTTAGCTATAGTGATATTAAGAATTGTTTACTGTTTCAATGTATGAAAGTCTTATATTTTTTTAAACTTTTTTCTGTGAATCTCAAATAAGATTGTTTTTTATTAGGATGGCGTGAACCCTGATATTGAAAAGCATTCTACAGTTCTGGGACTGGGGACTGTACCAGTTAATTCCCTTCCTATTGGAGAAAAAGTTGATAGAATCATTTCTTTGGGAGAGGTAATGTCAATATTTTGCTCTTGCTTTATCATGCATGATAGAACCTTTTCCTCCGTTGCTTCTAGGTGTTTGGAAAGTTAGGCAACATGTGACTCTCAAGAGTGCTGTTTTCCTGGATGTCTAGAATGATGAGATTACTCAGTGCAATTCTTCCAAACATGTTTTTATGGTTGGGTCTTGCAAAATAAAGTGTAAAGTTCATCACTTTCTGAAGAAAAAAGTCTTGTCAGGATGTGAAAGAAAAATATCAGACGAGGGAAAAAGCAAGACCCTTGCTTAAAGAAATAATTACTTTCACCCTGTCCTCTGAGTATGTTTTTGCTTTGTGCAGAGACTGATAAAAATTGTCTGAAATAGGTGTAAGGAAAGGTGTTCCAGAGATTTTGTTTTGTGGATGAGGAGCTGTTCTGGATAGTAAATGGTGACTCTGTTGATGTCATAACTTCTGGTTTGTAGTTCCACCTGTCTATTTGCTCTCAGTTGCAAGATGTGTTCTCTCTTTTCGCAGGGAAAAAGTTTGGATATGAGTTTGAAAACTGAAGAGAGGTGAGTGGGAATGCCAAATTCCTTTGAAAATCAGGAAGCTGATAGGGTCATTTGGTATCCAGTCATCATCTGAAGATCCTGTTCCTGTTTTACAAACTTATAACAACTTAATTGGTATTCAGTTGCCTCCTTCTGTCTCTTAAGTTCAGAATCTTCTGTTTTAAAATCCCTCTTCCCCTCATTTCATGTTCATGTTAATATAGTGATGTCTGTTGCTCCTCATACAATCTTCTTCACCTACTAAGAATCTTTCTTCCTTTGTGAAATTCCTAAAGAGTAATCTGAGTACTGTTTGACAGTACTCAGCTTTGAATTTAAACATTAAAGGAGAAATACAATATGAAGAATTTAATTTTTTATTCCAAAAGGTATTGTACAAAATAGCGGATGTATACACTAAAATTTCACTTGATCCAGTTCAAATCTACACCTAGATTGTGTGTTCAAAAAAATTGCTTTTCCATACTGATTACAAATCCTCCAAAATTTCATGTTTTTTTTCTTAACTTCTATTTCAGCACTTGGGATCTTGATATACGTCTGGGTTTTGATCTCTGTAAAGAGGAGAGAGAATTTTTGGACAAAAGGAAGAAAGTAGTTTCTGAGGCACTGAGGAAGACTCTTCACTTAAAAGAATCCCCTCCAAAAGATGAGGTATTGAGCGCAATCCTGTGCTGAGATTGGTAAAATCCTTTAGGCTTGGTTGATAATTAGGCAGTGTAGGAATCCTTGCTTGTAACCAACAAGAAACATGGTTTACATTTACTATAGTGAATATAGTGGGAGACAGATCTCTGGTACTTTTCAGTTCTGAAGTCTAAATGTTGTTATATTTCTTAAATTTTGAGGGTGGTGTGTGTGTTTTGGAACTCAAAATGTTGAAATTTCAGAATGTATGTACTTTACTGGAACTCTTGTATCTTGGACTTTGGGCTTGGAATTGCGATGGGAAATTTTGTTTCAGAATGTTTAAAATGAAGTTCACACCACAGGAATGGATTCTTAATTGCTTATTTGAGGAGACTTACCTCTACATATCCTGATGCCTTGCTCAGTAGTATTTGGCTGCTGTTACAAGAATAATTGCCTCTAAATTATTAGAAAGTAAATGAGTGCTATTATACATAACAATTTCAATAAGAGACTGTTCCTAAGGTGACTGTGCTATGCTTTATAGTAAGCAATATATTTCAATTACAAAATAAAGAAACAAGTTCAGCTTGAAATCAAACCCAAAATTACTTGTAATGTAGATAGAAATAGAGCTTTATATCTCTGCTTTTTATTCAAATGAGGCTGAGATGGGATTAGTTCTGTAATTTATTGGCAGTCAAAAGCCTGTGTTTGTGACTCCTGAGTTTTCTGTCTGCAGGTTCCAGTTGTAGCAGTACTGGGCTCTGGAGGTGGGATGAGAGCACTGACATCGTTCTATGGCAGCCTTGCTGGGCTGCAGCAGCTGGGCCTTCTGGATGCTGCAATATACCTCTGTGGGATTTCTGGCTCCACTTGGTAAGCTACATGCAGTTTTGATTCAGTAACTTTGAGGTGAAATGGTAGTGTTCATGCAAAATAGGCCTGTGTTACATTTGTGCCTTGTGTAGGCAGACAGCAAATCAAGTATTTTACTAGTTTTTACCTGTGAGTTCTGTTGAGGATCCTGCGCAGTCTGAGAGATCCGATGTCATGTCCAACCCATACAACTACCAGCTAAAATTATGCATCTGCTGCTTGTGCAAGTCTGACAGCTGAATATTAGAATGTATTATATGAATAAAACTGCTGTGTCATACCTCAGAGCACTGACTAAAAAACTTTCCTCATTCCCCTACTCTTGCCAAGAAAATAACTGAGGTAGTGCAAGTCATGGGAAACATGTCCAGGCAGGCCACCATGTCATCACCTTGCAAAATGGCATAGAGGCTGAAGAGGGGCATAGCACTGTCTTGCCCTTTGGTGGACTGGAGCAATGTGCTGAAATACTAGATGTGGCTAGAGTGTTTCAGTGGCTGAGTTCTTGGAGTTTGTGATGAAGTCATCCCTTGTTTTTGTGAAACATTTCACAGAGGAGTTGTGCAACCTGACAGCGTAATCCTTCCTTCCAAGCTCTGTGTGTTAAATTAACTCCTCTGTACTTAGTTCTCCCGCCCCTTTTGATTCAGAGACCCTTCCAAACAAATGTAGGCATCTGTTTGTAAGGAGAGTCAGTGGTCCAAACTAGCTTCTCCTTTAATCAGACCTGTCTTCTGGTGAAGGCCATGGCCTCTAATGCTGCATGCTGCACCCTTGCCATCAGCCAGCTTACCATGGTTGTTTTGCTCTGGAGTTAACATAGGTGTATGAGCTGGTTCATGGGTGCTGGCACAGGATGCTTGGAACATCTTTGGAATGCAGGTTAGCAAGGAAGATGTCCTATAGGTGTCAGGGTTTTCAGCACAATTTAGAGTTCACAGATCTTTTATTTATTTTCACTCTTCTTTTAGCCAGTCTTCTCAAGTGCTGCAACACTAATTATAACTAGCTTAAACTATTGTTTACACTAGGGTCTTTATTACTGATGACATTAATAAAAGCATTTTCAGGTGTTTATCAACACTGTATCAAGACCCTGACTGGTCACAGAAAGACCTCCAAGATGCAATCAGAAGAGCTCAGGATACTGTGTCCAGCAGCAAAGCAGGGGCATTTTCCCCAGAACGACTGAAATACTATTTCCAGGAGTTGAATGCAATGGAGATCACTGGACGGAAGGTTTCCTTTACAGATTTGTGGGGCCTTATTGTGGAATATTTCCTACAACAGAAGGTAAAAGAATTCATATTTGGATGTGTACTGCTGTTTGTTTTTCAAGTGGGGCACTACTGACCCATGTGTTTAGAATCAAGAAACCAATTATTCTCCACCTTTGTCTAGGTGGTGCTGTGGAATAAACATTGTATCTTCTCCATTAATTCATATGGATCAGTGTTACAGAAAAATGCAGTGTTTATTTGGAATGACTGTACTAAAAGAATAGCTTTTGTACTGGGCAGCTTAAGCCTGACAAAATGTTGTTGGCTTTGCAGAGTGGCGTTACTGTGCAGTATTTTCTGTGTAATTGAGGTTGAAAATCAGAGGGATAGCTAGTTTATTAATAACATTAGACATTCTAAATATACAGCTACAGAAATACTTTGGACAAACACAGCCATATACCTGGACAGTGGAGAGGAAAAGTGACTTTGAATTAATAGTGTTGTTAATCAGAAGTACTAAGCAACAGCTACCAATTATCAAATTGTGGGTACAGAATTTACCTAAGTGGGCTCCTCCTTCCTTGCTTGTGACCAGGAAGATCCCTCAAAGCTGTCAGATCAGCAAGAAGCCGTGAAATGGGCCCAGAATCCTTATCCTATCTATGCAGCTGTCAATGTGAGACCCAATATAAGCAGTGGTGACTTTGCAGGTATGAACATGGAAATCTCTTTTTGTTTGCTAAAGTCTATAAATTTATTTCATCTGTCCACTGTCTGCTTGGGTAGTGAGCAGCTGATACCAGGAAATACAGCTCAAGCAGCAGTTGGTAGTGCAAGAGGAAACTGATTGACAAAGAATTATCATCCTGGTAGCAAATATCTTCATCATGGCTAAAATGAGGAATGAGATTCAGAACTGTTGGACATTCCACAGGTTTTGCTATAAACTGCCTGAAATTTTCAGGAGCTGAGGAGGTTCCTGTAATAAATATGTCTGTCTGAATCAAAGAATTAGAGTCTTTGGTGATAAGGAAACCACTTTCTTCTATAGTCTCAGAAAAAAAATTTGTGTAGGATTCATATAAAATGATGGATTGGCTACCTTGTAATATGTTTTAGTGGCCCGAGTTCTTAGAGTAAAAGTATGAAGACAGTCCTTCACTGAAACTTGAAATAGGATGCAACAAGTGGAGACAGATGAGTGAGACAGGAACACAAATGCTTGTGTCCATCTATGTACCACTAGGGGACTTGTTTGTTTTATTATGGAGGATTGTGTGTGTATGGTAGTGAATTCAATTTGACCCAGCTTGCCAGAGTTCAAGAAGCATTTGGAATTTGGATAATGCTTACAGATGCATTCTGTGTTTTGTCTGTGAATTGATCAGTGCAGGCCCAGGAGTTGGACTAGAAGACTGTTCTTTGTGGAAATCTTTCAAGCATGAGAGGGGGCACTTTGATAAGCAGACAGTGAAGTCTGATGCAGTGGGTCAACTGAGTTAAGTCAGTAGTGTAATAGTTTCTGGGAGATGGTTCATAGTGCAAAGAAAAGCTGAGAAAAATAATGTAGCTTCCATTTTGGATGGAAAAAGGAACTATCAAAATGGTTTAAAGTAAAAGTAAAATAGATAGGTTATTTCCATAGTAACGAAGTCAAGATGGAGCAAGACAGAATGAAAGCCTTCACAAGATGAATCATATGTACATAGAAACTAGAGAAGGGGGCAGAGAAATTCATAGTGATTGTGAAAAGAGAGGAGAGTCCCTTCTGTCTCCCCTCTGTGAACAGATATCAGATAAATATTTTCACTCTGATTTTACTCTGAGATGAGTAAATATCCTATTGGCTTGTTCTTAGAGTGGTGTGAGTTCACTCCCTATGAAGTTGGATTTCGCAAATACGGAGCTTTTGTTCGAACAGAGGATTTTGACAGCGAGTTCTTCATGGGACGGCTTGTCCAGAAACATCCAGAGCCCAGGATTTGTTTTCTACAAGGTATGATCTTATGATAGTAATTAAATTATCATATAAGGAAATGGAAAGGAACTTTGCTGCTTTGGGGACTTAGGAACTCAAGTCCACGCCTTTTCTCCCTTCCAGAAGAACCAGAAGAAGTGAAATATGTCAAATCTTCCTCCAGAGCTTTAGGTTCATAGTTGGCTCACAGTATTACAGTCTGATGTCCTGAATCTGCAGGATGACTCTATTATAGCCACCTGTCAAAAATGTCCACTGTTGGTCTTCCTGTTCTCTTACTGTCTTTTCCATGTTTTTCTCCAATTTCTGCATTATATTGTAGCATCATAATTAGTCACATGATTAATGCCAAGGTTTTAACTCAAACTGTTAGAGTAGTAGGGATCAAGTGACAGCCCTCTGCCATGAAAAATATCAGGTGAATTACTGACCTTTTGGTTACACTGTGAAAAACCTTGAGAGTGTTAAATTCTTCTGCATTTCTCCTGCAGGAATGTGGGGCAGTGCCTTTGCTGCAAGCTTGGATGATATCTGCCTGAAGGTGGTTGGTATAGGACTGAGCTTTCTGGATTCTTTCAAAGATGTTATCAAAGTTGTAGGTAAGAACACATAATATAAGGATACATAAAAATATTTGGATTTTTCAAAAAATCACTGATTTTTTAGTAATCACAAATAATATGATGCAAAAATATGTTGTATGTAGTTTCCAAGATTACCACAAAGGGTGGATTTGGACAGATCTCTTTTATTCTGTGTTACTCCCTTTGATCACTCTTATAGCAAAGAGAGAAGTTGTTTCTTTAGTACACTTCCTCATCTTTTAAAAAGAATTCGTATCTGACTATAAATTTGGGCTAGCTCTGAGAGCTGCCTTAAACACATGTTAAAGTGCAGGCATCATAATCCTGAGAAGAGGAAGAGTAGAAACTGGATTGCTAAGCAGGAGATGGAAAAGGAGTCTTTCAATTTCCCCCATGGTCTGCCTTTTGTAATACTGGATAAGCTGGTTGTATGCTTATCTATTGATCTCCATTAGTTCATTACAGTGAAAAGTAAATGTTTTAGAGGCTACAATCTGTTAATATGCATAGTTATTGCCTTATAGTGACTAGTGGCAGAAGAGACTTTTTTTTTTTCCTCTGCCTTTCCAGCCCTGGTTCTCCCAACACACCCCACCCTTTTTGTTTTTTGTAGTTAAAAATGCTACTGTGTGTGGTTGACTGATGTCTTATGTGACAGAAGTGGTTGTCACTTGGTAACAAGGGTTTCTTTGCGTGGGTTTGAAATTAATGTGGGCAGTGCTTTATAAGTAAGCCTTTTCCCATTAAGCAAGGCTAGTAAATCACCCAGTTATGGAATACGCATCTCATTTAAATTTCATTGCAATAGCCTTATTAGAGGGTAAATTCAGCCTTAGGACAAATGGTTAAATACTGTAGAAAAAGGCCTGACTGAAATGTTGGAGGTGGCATTTTGTTTATATTCTGCATCCTTCTGTGACTTCTGCAGATGACTGCCGAAGATTCCATTTCCGAGACCCAGCACGACTGAAGACTCGCTTGGTTATACCTGGGGGCCCCTTGTTACAAATTTTTCAGGATTTCTTCAAGTCCCGGGTCACATGTGGAGAAACCTTCAACTTCATGAAGGGATTGTATCTTCATAAAGATTATGTTAACATCAAGGAATTTGTGACTTGGAGAGGTAAAGGAGTTTGTGTGTATCTGACTATCACAAAATATATATATAGCACTGTATAGTATCCCAATGTCACGGAACATACATGAGCTTGACTTTGTTCTGCTGAAGCCAGGGAATATATCCCTGCTTACACTGTAGCAAAAATTTTGATCCACAGATTTTGTATTTGTTTTGTCGCATAAGGCAAGCTCATCATTGGACTATAAAGGTCTGTCTCAGATGAAGGTGCATGTTGGAATGTCTTTTTTCTTCTTATAACACTGATATGAGTTTTGTGTATTTCTTCTGCCAAGGCATGTGTAACAAATCAATATAGTTACTTGTGTTACTTGGAGTGTCTTACAGGTACTCACCTGGATGCATTTCCCAACCAGCTGACTCCCATGGAAGAGAGCTTGTATTTCTCAGTGGCAGCAGATCAGTTGGAGCTGAATACAAACACTAATGGACAAATGAATGAAAATAAATGCTTACATCTTTCATGGAATCACAGAATGGTTTGGGTTGGAAGGGACATTAAGGATCTCATTTCAACCCTCTTGCCATTGACAGGGACAGCTTCCAGTAGACCAGTTTGCTTAAAACCCTATCCAGCCTGGCTTTGAACACTTTCAGGAATGGGAGTTCACAACGTCTCTGAGCAGCCAGTGCCAGTATCTCACTGTCTTCACAGTGAAGAATTTCTTCCTAATATCTAATCTAAACCTACCCTCCTTCAGCTTAAGGCCATTTCCCCCTTGTCCTGTCAGTACATGCCCTTGTGAAGAGTCACTCTCCAGCTCCTGTAAGCCTTCCTTAGTACTGGAAGGCGTTGTAAGGTCTCCCCAGTGCCTTCTCTTCTCCAGGCTGAGCAGCCCTGCCTCTCTCCTCCTGTCTTCCTATGAAAAGTCATTTCAAGCGTTATTTTGCTATGCTTTGTCCTGTGAAGGTCATGAGAAAAAAGAAAGTAGACAACTGTGAGAAGATTAAAAAACTTTCAGAAGCCTAAACGGATTAAGTAAAATAAGACTCTTTGCTTGGCCCATAAAATCATTGTTACTTGAATATGTGCTTCTAAACAAAGGGTGGCTATTGGTGATTTTCTTCATGCAAACAGGGTATTTTCTGTGAATACAAGTGTTCATTATTAAGTGCAGAAAAGTCAAGGTCAATAGATTTAGGGTAGGAAAGCATAAAAAAATTTCAGCTGCAATCTGTTGCTGTTTCTTGCAGTTCTTCTCTTCATTCTTCTACATTACCAGCCAGAGAAATTGTTTCTGCTGCTTTGAAGCTGAGTTTGTCACTTATTTTCTTCTTTTTTTTTTTTTTTTTTTTTTTAAATGGAAGTCTCTTTCCCTTTGAGGATTGTAGTTAGATGATCTTAGAAGTGTTGCTGGTGTTTTATTGCAGTTATCTTTTTTCTCTGCTGACAGGTTTTAGAGCTGACTCAGAAATACTGTGAGGAGCGGGAAATTCCTTTTCCAAAAATCAAATTCAGTCAGGAAGATGAAGAGAAGCCAAAAGAATGTTACATGTTTGTGGATGAAAATAATCCAAAGGCTCCAATTGTACTCCATTTCCCTTTAGTGAATGACACTTTCCAGAAATACAAAGCTCCAGGTAAGAAAGCTGCATCTTAAATCACTCTTATAACAATTCTTTGAGTGTGCTGATGGGGAAAATTCAGTGAAGTTGATGTTCCTCTTTTCATTCTTCTTAATATTACTCTGTAATTGTTAAATTTACCTTTACATTTAAGGCAGAATCAGTGCCCACTAGTTTTTTGAAGGGCAGGATGAGAGAAGAGGCTCATAACCTCCCTCCCCCCACAAAAGTGTTCATAATAAACTACTTTAATGTTAATCTTTTAATACTGGTATTTAAATTTGAGAGGCAAGGTACTCCTAGAGACAGTTGAACTTGAGGTTGGTCTTTCATTTTAGTGTAAAGCAGCACTTCCAGGTAGAATTGAGCTTTATATTCCTTATTTTGAGCATAATAATCAAAGATGAACTTAACAGTTTATCACAATGAGAATGCCTTTTAGTACTGTATTTTGGAGTCTAGTGGAAATAGGGTAATAATACTTGGCCCTTCAGCTTCCAAGTATTTTGGAAGGAGCTGGTATCTCTGAGGAGGAGCTTTGGGGATAAAGTTAAGTTTCAACAGAATTATCTCTAATATCCTCCTAACAGAATTCAACTAAAATGATTCTACCACTGCAGAGGGTTTTTTGTGATTTTGTTGGCTTTTTTTTCTTTCTTGCTGCAGGAGTTGAACGTGAGTCAGAAGAAGAGAAATCCTTTGGTGACTTTGTCATTGAGTCGAAAGATTCCCCTTACCGTACACTAAACTTCACCTTTGAGCCGTATGATTTCAGCAGGTTAGTGGAAGTGAATCGCTACAGTGTTCTGAACAACAAGGACACTCTCCTCAAAACCCTAAACTTGGCTCTGCAGAGGAGGAAGTTGAAGAAAGTGATCAATAAGTCAAATACATGAGCAGTTTCCAAGGCTGAGGGTATACAGAGAGGCTGCAGTGTACAAAAGCCATGAGGTTCAAGACAGGATACTGAAAGTGGATAGCTGGAAGCTGTCTTCCTCGGGAGGGAGTAGTACACCTGACACTGAAAACTCATTCCAGGTTATGTGCTCTGATGAAAACTCAAGGGATGTACAATACAACATGGACATTGCTTCCTCACATGGGGAAGAGTGAGGAATTACCTAGCTCAGTGTCTCAAATCGCAGTGGCTGATTCCAGAGGATTCAGGAGGCCTATCCAAACCATTCAAGCATCTGGAGAATAATCTTCCAGACTCTGAGTAATTCACCTGTTTTTATCAAAGGTGTGCTGGTGTTTGAGGAAACAGATTCCTTCTGTACCTTTATCTCTTACTTATGAATCTTCTTTCATGAACTTCTACAGTTTGCATCATCTTAAAAAGAACTCCACAGATAAAAACTACACACTGAGAGATGTCACCTTTTGCTTTCAACTTGCTACTGGCTGATGCCCACATACTTTCAAGACTAAGTAGTCATTACTTGCTTCCCATTTTGCCATTCATGGTTTCAATTTCCTTTCCCTTCTTGAGGATTTTAATGGCTTTTTGTCTCCCAGAAATTCTATACAGAGTATCTTATTTTGGTAAACAATTTTTTTTCAAGGAAATAAATGTTTTTTATGTTTAACAATAAAGATGCATTGTGGGATTTTGTTACTCTTTCCTATAGTTTGATCATCATGAGATGATGAAACTATGCTGAAGATACCGTAAGTTTCATCTTTCTGTGTAAGAGGAAGGAAGGCTCCTTTGAAGAGTTTGATTTAGATATTTTTTACTTACACTTCAGCTTGTAATTCACCCAGACCTTTGTTGAAGGAATTTGTGTCTATGTATTTTAGAAACATCAATAGTCAAGGTAGGCACAGCTTACGAATGTGAATTTATAAAATAAAGTCAGATGCTGCTGTGCTATGGGATGGGATTCACCTCACTTTGCAAAAAGCCCAGAGAAAAGTACTGAATGATGCAGGTGGAAAATATGTAATGCAGAACAGTGGTAGACAAGCACTGTTCTTTTTATGGCTTTTACATTGAAGTGAATGTACCAGTTCTGCATTTAAAACTGAGGACAGGAGATTTGTCTTCTGAAAGTATTTAAGGGCTTGATGGGTATGATTCTTAATACATTTTCTATGTGTTTCTCTTTTAAGAAATACTAGTTTTGCTCACATGCTCTTCACAGTTTTTCTTAAGTACACTTGTCAGAGACAGCTAGGTTGATAGCTTGCAGGTGAAAATCAAATCAGGGGCTGAGCCAAGAAAGAAAACCTTATATTAATGACTTACTACAGACCACCTAATCAAGGGGAGGATGAGCAAGATAATACCAGTTACTTCTTAAGGAATCTTATAAATGTGGAAAATGTATTTCAGCTGAGAAATGGGAAGTGACCGAGTTTTCACGGTCAAGAACTGTGGTTTTTGCTTAGTAAGAGTTGGAAGTTGTGCTGGTGAATTCAACTGACTCACGCTGGAATCACAATCACCTTGCCTTAATTGTCTCTACAGCAGAATAATTTTAAAAAGAGTTGGTAAAAGCTTCTTGGTTTTAAGCTGGACTGAGTGAGTTAACCAGGTACTTCAGCCTCTGATCAACTGTGATTACCCTGGAAAAAGAGCACACGGCCTGCGTCTGCCTGACCATCTACTTACATCAACAGGTATTACAGGTCAAGTTGTCTCCCTTTTGTGGGGCTTCTAGATTGCCACAGAGAAGAATCATTTGGCATTCGCAGTAGTATGTGTTCCTTTTCCTCTGGAGATGATGACTGTGTTCTACGTAGCTGATAAACTCTAGCTGAATCTTCTTTTCAGCTAAGTGCTTCCAGCTAAGATTTTGTAAATTCACTTGTTGCTGATGCTGTTGTATCAGGAAACAGTTAATTCTTACGTTTTTTAAAGAAAATACTTTGGAAGATTTTTATAATAATTCCTGTTGTGGATTTTTGAATCCCGAGATAGTGAATGAACAACATAAAATAGCCAATGGGATAATAAGAAAACAGTGACTTCCTATGAAAATACCTGCTTTTTTTGTCTGCTCTTGCAGTGTCAAAGGCAAACTGCTGTGTAGCAGCAGATCTTCTGACAGCATCTCCAGTCACTTCCCTAACACAGGTCTTATTGTATCTGCAGTGATTCTAAGAGGAATGAAACTTAAAATGCAATCACCATAATGCTGTGAAGGTAAAAGGTGTGCTTCTTTGTTAGGGCAGCAGCAGATGAACAGGAAATCCAGGGCAAAGGAGGGAGCAGACCCTTGTGAAGGGGTAGCAGAGATGGTAAACCACTTGTGGCCTGCTGCTGAGTGTGTTTAAGCCAGTTGTGTGGAGCAGAAGTCTTAGTAAAGGTCTCAGTGTCCTAGAAAAAGCATTGTCTGGGAAAATGCAGGAGCACAGAACAAAAGCTTGTGGTGTTTTCTTAAGGGTGCTGTACCCTGAAATAGAATGGTTGAAGAAATTTTTCCTTTTCTCCAATATCTCCAAATTTGTTCATAGCCAAGCAATGTTGTTATGTTGAGATATACTTTTTTTTTAGTTCAGTACAAAATCTTTTGAGTCTATCAACTCCAGTAAACGAAAAATTTATCTAGAGCCACATCTAAAAATCTTAAACTGGGACAGAATTATTGCTAACTCTGTTGCTTTTGATGTGGCAAATATTACACCAGGCTAGACTTTTAGTCACACATTTGTGTTCAATTGCTGGTTGAGGCACTTTGAACACCTCAAAAGGAAGAAAAACAAATACAGAAAGCAGTGTTTAATCAGAACTTGGTATTGATATCACTTGGATTTGAAAAAGGTAAGGAGATCTAGAGGTGTTGGAGTCTGAAACATTTCCAGTGGATAAAGGGAAATACTGTTGAATGAAGTTCTGGTAGGGTTTTATGTAGAGCAGTTATATGTTGGCATGTCACCCATATTTGAGGAAAATTAACTCACAGCAGATGCATGGATGAAGGAGAATGTATGGGAAAGGGAAAACCAGCCATTTGAGAGGACACTAGATGACTGCAGGTTAATTTGTTTGTCAGAGAAACAATTGAGAATGGACCTCTGTTCTACATGAAAGCAACCTAGAGAAGGGAGATAAAGCTAGAAGGCCAATGGTGGTGTGAGAACAAATATATGAAGGAATATTATTAAGGAATAAACTGAAGCTGAATATAAAAAGTATGTTTCAGAGTTTTGTGAAGTCTGTGAAAACCTTGAGAATGATTAGGCTAACTTACTGGTGGACGTGTAAAGTAGAAGGTGATGAATTGATAGAACAATTGATTTATACAAAGGTATGCCAATGTTTTTAAGAAGTGTTAGCTTGTTTGACATCTTTGTGATCAGGGCTGGTAGGAAGGGAAATGCTGATTATCTCCCTAGGCTCCATATAAGCAAGGGGAGCCTGTATTGTTTTCTCCTTAGGAAAAAACCTACTGCAGGAGCTGGAGTGCTGACACACATACCTGGGTGCTTTTTCATACCTGTTACATTTTTCAAATCCTTTAAAGGGAGCAGTGCTCTCTTACATGACACTGCAATCACTCTCAACCCACTCCTCAACACGGCATCACCTGCTGCGTTTGTAATCTTCAAATTCCGTACAAGGCCTTGAGCTAGAGCAGACTGCTGCATTTAGCAGACTCGCTGTGAAATGGTATTTGGTACAAGCTTATTTCCTCCAAATGTATCTGACAGAGGAACTTTTCAATTTCAGGGCAAAATACATCAGAGTTTGGGTTAGTAATAAGGGATACACATGGGAGCACATTCTGTTACAAGCTATAAGCTTTGTAAATTATTATCATTATAAATATATCTGTAATATAAATTATATATATATAAAGCATCAATTATTAATTATTTTTCATGTACCCCATCTTTCCTTCTGTAGTTTTTGTGGGTTTGTAATCATGACGATGTGGTTTTAACTATTACATTTTTTTTATCCATGGTTGTAGTGAAGGTCAACAGTGCATCCAGGTGGTGGAATTTTTGGTTGTGGTTGTTTTTTGTTTGCTGAACTGGTTATTGCATTGCTGACCATCACAGTTAAGTCAGCTAAGAGTTGTATAATGTCACACAAACCAGAACTTCTGTTGAGAATTCCACAGAGATTATGAATCATGCCTTACGTGCTTTGAATCCAAGGGTGTTGATGTAAATATCAGGCTGAGTTTACCTTAGGGGTAAAAACAAAGCTGTAAAGGTTGATTAGCTAGGTGTGGTAAAAAATGTTGCTTATAAAATTAGGGACAAAAATTCGAATTATTTAGTCTCTAAAAAAAAAATCCCACAATATAATAAAAGTAATTAAATTTTACATGAGACCTTCAGCTATAAAACAAACAAATCATTACATGACCCCAATGGGGGAAAAATATCTTTATAAAAGTCTAATTATGGTTACTGTCCCTGCCCAATTCGACCATCATAAGCATTTCCTTGCTTTGTAACAAGTAGAAATTAAAGAAGGTTTTGCAGTACTTCTGTAAAATGAACCAGGCTCTGTACCTTTGCAGTGCATCCTTTTCCATCTTTATTGCTTAAAAGTTCTTATTTGAAGGCAGCTATACACCTCTAAATCTAAACTGTAGTGGAACCACTGCACAAATGTAGCACTCTCATGCCCTAGTCAGAATGAGAAGACTCGCTGCAGCACATCCATGATTTAAATGTAGGGTGTGGGGATATTTTTCCTTCAGCATTCCACCCCACTGCCAGTCACCCATGTGGTAGAGCAATACAAGTTCCCTGCTGTTAAGATTATTTCCCAACTCACTTTGGTTTTTTTTCTTAAGGGTGTGTTTATGTTCTTTCTTTGTGTTTTGTTCTTGTTTTTCCTCTTTTGTTGTTTTATTTTGTGTGTGTGTTTGGCTTTTTCCTGTTAGAAAATTGTGGCAGTTGAGAAGCAGAACTGGGACTGAGAAGTTTGATGGGGATCAGAGTGGATGGGACTGTATTTTTCAAGTGCTTTGTGAATGCTTTGCTTGCAGAAGTTAGCCTCTGTTTTGTAATGAGGTGTGCTGGAAAATGGCATCTGGACAGCCGCATTCATTAGTCCATTGTGAAACATGGCAAGTTTAAGCAAGTTTTATCTGCAAATTTCACCTTGGGCTTTACTGTGGAACCATTACTGGAATCTGCATAATGATGCATGTGATGTATTGAGGATAATATTACACCAGAGTTTAATTTATAATGTGTCAACTGTGTTAAAGCAATATGTGAGGAAGAAATGAGGGTGAAAAATGTCAGAAAAAACATGTATTCTGGTTGAACCCAAGCCATTCTGTGATTTTATGATACTTGGGCGTACCTGCGGAGGTCGTTGATTATGCATCAGGAAATGAAAGTCAGCTCCATTCAGTCTGCAGCTATTTTGAGTTTTCTCTCTTTTTGATGTTTTCTGTCTGAGTCTCATGTGGTATTTGTAATTTGGTCAGGCACTGAGGGCAAAATCCCCTACCTCTCTTAACTGTCAGAGAAGCAGGTATTGGCTGCTAATTGAAAGATAACTGTTGTAGCGTTATAATTGTGTCAGTATTCCAAGAAGCCTTATTTTGTGAACTCTGTTTTCTTTAGGAAAACAGTTAGGATTATTTTGAAAAAATAAATTTCTG